TTTCCATGTCAGCAACCAGGAAAGCCGGGAGGCTGAAACTTTGGATATATATTCCTACCCCTTGTGTCATCTTCCGTTTTAAGATCTTTCCCCGCACGTGACTAAACTCCACGTACGGGACCACCAAAGAAATATGTTGGCGGGAAACGATTTCGTGAACCAGGCAGCGCAGAAAGCTGAAATTCTGTAGGGATATTCTCTGTGCAATTGCGAGATGAAAATTTTAACCTCAGCTCTCTGGCTTCCCAATCACAGCCTCAAGCAGCTCCTCAACCCAAAAATCGTTAGCAACTCGGACCTGGACCGCAATTTATATGCAGGTGAACGTAGATTTTTTGAAAAACGACCGTTCGAGCAATACTTTCAATTTTCAATAAACTGAAAATTTGCATATTTTCAAAAAATTCGTTCGCAACTTGGAACTTAACCGCAATGGTATATGTAAATGAACGTGCATTTTTTGACAAACGACCGCTCAAGCAATACTTCCACTTTTTAGTGGACTGAAAATTCTGCATTTTTCCAAAAAATTTGCATTTGTCATTTTTTCACAAAGCGAGCATTTGCTGAAAAAATGACCGGACTTCATGCAAAAAATCAGTAATCATGAACCTGGATGTCTGTGCAGCTCTATAATGCACCACCTTCATCCCAACTGACGCCCTTTCTCCTGCATGCCGGAAGGGGCCAAAGCACGGCCAATATGAGCCCAGGTGTTAGGCTACAGCGTAAGGATCATTCTTGCTAATAGCGATCTGCGAGTTTAGTCCAAAAACGCATGATCGCACCGGAGAGCCTGGTGCGTTCCAGCCTGGGTTGCATATATGTAAATTGCAAAAACGCATATCGGGAAGAGACTGTGTGTGTGTGTCTGTGTGTTCGCACATTTTGTCACTCACTTTCAACTCGAGAGCTAGAAAGGCCAGAAAGCTGGAACTTTGGGAGTATGTGCCCATCACTTGTGCAATCCTCCGTTTTAATGTTATCATCCGCGTACGCATAGTCTCCCGTACGGATGTCTCAGAAAAATATGCAAAAATTTTTTCTGAAAGCGGACTCACGAGTTTTGACTGAGCGGTCAGCGGTCTCAGGAGCATATAAAAGTTTTGACGGGAACGCATACTGGATCAATCCCACTTCCGCCAATCCTCAACCAACCGCCCCCCTCGAACCAACTAACTGCCCGCCCCCCTCAACCAGCCGTACCCCCCCACCCCCTCGACCAACCGCACCCCCCTCAAACAACCGCACCCCCCTCA